ATATATATATATATATATAACATATTTCAAAAAATCATTATTGCAATAAAATTAATATAATTAAAAGTTTTCACCTCTACTGAACGTGTCCAATTTGTGTTAAAGGCTCGGCATTGTTTCAAATTAGAAAATGGCTATATACTCAGCTTTTAGAACTTTTTGACATACCTTACATATGTACTTTCGTCGTTTGAGACGTCTTTTGTTCTGCAATTGACACCATCTGGATCGAGAACTCCAAGTGCGATGCGAACTGGATTATTTTCTGATGAACGTAGTATAGGCCGCATGGCACGACCCGGATTTTCGGTGAGGATTTATGGAGGGGTGATATGGACAAATTTGTTATTCGTTATACAATCTTTTATATTTTAGCGTACCAAGGGCCTATATATGTAAAACCTCTATGTGATAAGCCGTACCTCTAAGCGATATATGGTAATATTTAGTGTAATATGGCGTACTTGAATGCGATATGGCGTACCTCTAAGCGATATGGAGTACCGCTATGCGATATGGCGTACTGTAATGCGATATGGCGTACCACAGGCAGCCCAACCATATAAGTGTCCAAAGATTGAGTTTGGGCTTCCTGTGGCAAAATCCCGAGAAGGTCTARGCACGACTAAACACAGCATAGTCTTCATGGGCCAAATATCATGGCGGCAGCAAATGAAGGTCAGCACCGAAGTACACAAGATTTGCTTGTCATTAATGCTAGGGAAGTTCTTCTCGATATACTTCGACGCCTGGAATCTGGCGTTTGTACCAATGTCAATGTGGACTACATCAGATATCGAGTAGAATGGCTTATTGCTGTTATAGCACGCTTTGGCCAGTCGTACGAGAAGGAAGTAACCATTATCGAATMCTTACAATCTGAACTATCGTGTTTAGCTTTACTAGAAATCGACAACACCCTTGGAAATTTTACACCACCGGTGATAACGTCTGATCATAATCCAGGTAGAGCTGCAACTGTTCGCAAGGTTTTTCAAACTTCCTTCCTTTGTGATCAGACGTTATCASCGGTGGTGTAAAATTTCCAGGGGAGTTGTCGATTTCTAGTAAAACCAAACACGATAGGGCATGCTCGCCTAACTAAAGAGAAAAGCAAGCAAGCAAGTAAGCAGCAGAAAATCAAAACGAAGGTTCAAAAGCGTCCAAAGTAARACAACAGTGGCTGATAGAGACGTAACGACGGATCGTTGACAAGTGATGTCAACAATAAATCGAAAACTATTAAAAACGTATTATTAAAAAAACTATTAAAAACGTATTCGAATTGGTTTGACCGTCCACACGTATCCGTTTTCGTAAAATTTGCGGATACAGACACAAAAATTTGCGGACACGTGTGGACGCAACCCGTAACCGTAAAAAAAAATAAAATAAAATAAAAATAAAAATTGCGGATACAAAAATTTGCGGATACGTGTGGACGGGGCCTTATAAAGCACGCGCTCGCAAACAATCAGAATGCAAGCTTTATTACAGCGCAAAGAGCAAAAGTATGATCACATTTAAAGTAGTCGCATGTATTAAAAGTATTTATCAAACAACGCACTTTGAAATTCCAAGTATCTTCACTTGTGGAACGAMTTAGTACCCTTGATTGCAAAAGCATTGTGGGGTTTAAAGCATATAACATACAAGCTGGGACCAAAAGGTATGCATGGAAGGACCAATTTATCATCTGATGTATTTATTTAAGTTACATAGTCGATATCAAACATGTGTTAAAAGCCTCCACCCTTTCTATCAGTCCAAGAGTTTCTGAACATTTCACTAGTTGCAACACTGGATACATCTCATYAACATCTTAGCTTTTATGTCCTATGTTTTTTATGTCCGACAATGATCTTGCCATTGTGCGTTTTTTTTACACATAATCGAGGCTAACCCGTAAGCAACTCGAAGTTGGAGTATTAAGACTGGTAAGATAAATATATAGAGAGCYCAAAAAATGCATGTTATCCATTATTTAACGTCCATCTGGAATTAATACAATTTCGAACTAAGAATATTGAAAGAAACCTGTGAAAAAACGTTCATAATTTAGGAACATATTTTTTTGAGCTGAAACTAATTTTTTTTAAACTCTCGAGACACCTTTACCCTCCCTTCCCCACAGAACCTGTTTCCAGGCTATAACTACTCTAGCTAGTTGTTTTGCAAACTTTCTTCAAAGAAATGGCAGTGAGAAGTTTGTTCTTCTTATATCCCATTGAGATGTAACTGAAAAGCTACTTCTTTCGGGCGAGCTAAAATGTGTACCACCCGGTATGATTACGCTCTTACGGAATAAAAAGACCACGTATTCTTGGAGACTGTAGAAATATTGCCATAGCAGATGCCGATCCAACGACAATTGATACTACCAAGAGCACTCGATCGAGAACACGGGCAGCATCTTGCCACTCCTTTCTACGTATTTCTTCGTTCATGCGCTCAGAAAGTTGTAAGCGATGGACATTCATAGGATCATTTATTGATTGGTCTGTGTTACAGTTGTCCTCGTCCTGACATCCTCTCGTAGACCTTTTTCGTGGAATGTTATTACAAGGTACGGAGCCGTTTGGAGCCACAAGATGGTCTCTTTGAGTACAGCGCGATTGTGCGCTGTTTTCTATTAGGTCCATGTCAAGGTCCACTGATTCGCGGTCAAATTCATAAACGTCATTTCTTCTTACGTCCGAGGACTTGAAAGTCATCATGTTGATCATGGCCTCCTCATGCTGGGTCTCCATTATTTCTCGGGACGTACAGCGAGGTTTGCATTTAACTAGAGGCGCCAGCCAACCCAGCACCAGTCTTCTAAACCAAGCTGGCATCTCTGTTTTGCGGTGATAGATGTTAAGAATAATGCATGTGGCGGCTAATGCAGTGCCAATTTCCATGATGGAAACTGAGTAATACATGGCTAAGTGCAAACCAAGAAAAAAAAAGGGTTAGGGTCTCTGCGATACTGGAGCTAACTTTCATACTATATACTGATAGACATAACATAGTTGATATTCTAGATACTTACCAAGTAGTGGAAAGTGCTCAGAGCTTGATGGTAATTTTTCCGAAGTTAGTTCTTGAAACACCGCCATAGACAGCAAAATAGTAATACCCAGTCCCACTCTTTCTCCTGATTCGGCAGGGAGAATAAATTCCAGAAATATTGTACAAGCAATTAGAGTGCACGGTAGAATCAAGTTCATAACGTAGTAGTAGGTACGGCGTTGTAAACGAAGAGAAATTGTGACTTCTGCGACTGGACTCTCAGACCAATCAAATTTTACCTATGTTAATTATGACTAAATTAGTGTGTCTCGCCCTCTTCGATCAAGTATTGGGGTGTACCTTTCTCATTTTGCTTATTACTTTTTCCTTCTATTCAATCAATAGCGTTGCAGCTACACCAACCACAGTGGCAGATCTTGGCGTGTAGCTTGGGGCATCCCCCCCCCCACCCACTTATGTTTCCTACAATATCATTACAGCGCACTGCTAGGCCCCAATATCTATTCTCGACTTTCACATCCCCATAATGCCTTGCGTTTTTGGGGGTAACCATTCAAAAAACTGTCCCTAATTGAAAGGTTTCTTAACATGAATTTAT